TCCGATGAGCTGATCCATGTCTGCCAGCGACCACTTTCTTGTATCGTCGGCGCCAGGATAGAGTGCTCATATGTCGGCTTTCCAGTCGTTGTAGCTCTTGGCTACGTCGATGAAGGACTCGATGGTTTCCCATAAGTCAGCAACGTCAATTGAAGGGTACCGAACAGCCCACTGTTTCTTGGCTGCTTCGTCGGTAATCTGACACCGGGTGAACAATGCTTCGAGGTCCTGGAAGTAACGCCGAAGCGAACGGACTTCCGACGGGTCGAAGCTTGGTGCCGTCGAATGACCGCGCGGGGGCATCAATGGTGTGTTCATGTTCTGACTCATGTTTGTAGTGGTAGTAGAAGCTGGGCTCGAAGAGGACATGGTAGTAGTCGAAGGAATCGTAGGAGCGGGTGGTGCGGGGTTGGAGTTCGAAGCTGCGTTCGAAGGTGCTAATGGTGGCGGAGGTGCCAGGTCGGATGTAGGTATGACTGAAAGTCGTGAAGAGGATGCGATGGGCGGCTGAGCGTGGGTGCAAACAGAAGACGGAGTCGGAAGTACGAGATTCGAAGTAGATGGGATGGATCCTCGGGTTCGGGCGAAGAACTGGATCGTTCGAAAAGTTCAGGAGTCGAAGTGTCGTAGTCGGAAGTAGTGAGGCCTAGAAGCTCGGGGGACGAAGTGCGTTCTTCGGCGGTCGAAGGGATTGGTTCTTCGTCGAAGTCGTCCTGGAGTTCTTGGTCTATCTCGTCTTCCTCGTCGCGGTCGAAGTCACCGGGAATTGTTGGAGAGGGAGTCGATTGCGTTCTAGAGGAGCTGTCGAGGTTCTCGGCGGCGCTGTGGCTAGCAGCCTCACGCACTTGTGAGCGGGTGACTACTGGAGACGTTTTCGGAAACCCGAAAGCAGCGAATTCTTGCCTGAGATCCCCTCGCGGTGGGCTCCAGAAATGATATGACCTACGAAACCCTAACCCCTAACCTGGGTGCGACCTAAAGGGACTAGAGAGACGGATTATAGTCTAATGAGAGGGGAGTTAGCAGCAAGGTGTCCCGCGGTTCGAGTGAACACGAGAAACGCCTTCAGAAAAAGCTACAAATGCTAGGGAAGGTACGAGGTGGCTTCGACACGTCGCCGAAGCTACTCGGAGGCTGGGGGTGGTTAGTGGAGACGATCGAAGCTCGGCAGAGCTCTTTGATGTATCGTAGAAGGAAGGGACACAACTCGAAGGGGGGGGGACTTAGCTAGGACGCGGTTCACAGTTTCTTCAACAATAGTCGAAGTCGAAGGGTTCGTCGAGACGGTATCGACGAGTAAACACAGTGGACGAGGTTTCGAGGTTACGCAGTGAGGGACAAAGTGACGCAGTTGAGGACTTAGACGCAGGGTGAACTCGACTTATGAGCTCTGAACTCGAGGGGGGAACCGGATCTTTTCATTTTTGGAGAGAAGTACGACAGAATTTATACTACACAGGACACTACGACTATCGAAAGTGGCACACTGGTACAAGGGGCTTTGCATTGTTCCTCAAGAAGCTGCCTCACCGAGGGGCACACACCAAGTCCATTGGTAGAGTGACGTCATGCCGAACGCGGAGATAAAGAGCAACATATGGCTACTTCGGACCGGTGTCCGTCGTTGAAGGCATGTCGCGAGGTTCGATACCTAATCGGGAAAGACCGGCTACGTCGGTGTGGCATGGAGCGATGCGCGCGCTTGGCCGAGCGGCGTCAAGTGGCCCTATTGTTCGCCGAATGCGGGAGATGTCCCGAGATTTATGCGCGAGGCATCGGGACGACTGTGCCGAGCTTCGAGTAAGAGTCACGCACCGTCGAAGGTGTCGAAGACCGTCGAAGGTGAAATTGAAGTGGTGGGAGACTGAGTCGAAGTGCCGGGCGGGATGCGACTGCCAAAAAGAGGTGAATCGGGGCCCGGAGGGGCTTGGCACCTATCACCGCTGAGGAGTCGGTACCTAAACAGTACCACGAGTTCCTGAACGTCTTCTCCAAAGAAGCGTCAGAACGGCTACCCGAAAGGAAGCCTTATGATCACGCGATTGAACTCGTGCCCGGCTATTTGACATTCCATTTGAAGGTGTATCCCCTGTCAAACAACGAGCAGGAGGAGCTTGACAAGTTCCTCAAGGAGCAACTGGCAAAGGGCTACATACGGGAATCAAAGTCGCCCATCTCGTCCCCTTTCTTCTTCATCAAAAAGAAAGAAGGGACACTTCGACCCGTGCAGGACTACCGCCGGTTGAACGCGATCACCGTCAAGAATCGCTATCCGCTGCCGTTGATCGCCAAGATGGTAGATAAACTGCGCGGAGCCACGCTCTTCACCAAGTTTGACGTCAGGTGGGGCTATAACAATGTCTGGATCAAAGCCGGTGACAAATGAAAAGCCACCTTCGTAACTAACCGGGGCTGTATGAACCTCTGGTGATGTTCTTCGGCCTCACCAATTCCCCTGCGACCTTCCAGGCCATGATGAATGAGATCTTCCATGATCTTATCATCGGCGGAAAGATCCTTGTGTACCTGGACAATATACTCATCTTCTCCACCAACAAGGAGGAACATGAGAAGGTCACACGCGAGGTTCTGCGTCGTCTCCAGGACAACAATCTATTCCTGAAGCCTGAGAAATGCAAGTGGGACGTTCCCAAGGTCGACTACGTCGGCTATGTGTTCGGTGGCAATGAGGTGGCAATGGATCCCGCGAAGCTAAAAGGAATCAATGAGTGGCCGGTACCCCGGAACAAAAAAGATATTCAGAAGTTCCGGGGGTTCTCCAACTTTTACCGCCGCTTCATCAAGGACTTCGCTAAGATCTCGCGACCACTCGACCGGCTCACAGGGAATGACCCATGGCATTGGGGTGAGGAAGAGCAGCACGCCTTCGACGAGCTCAAGCGGCTCTTTGCAACGACTCCAGTCCTGGCGCTGTACAATGCTAACCGAGAAACGCGCATCGAGGTTGATGCCTCAGGCTATGCCACCGGCGGCGTGTTGATGCAGAAGCAGGACGATGGCAAATGGCACCCTATTGCCTTCAGATCTCACGCTATGGACCCTGCCCAGCATAACTACGAGATCTACGATAAGGAGATACTCGCGATCATTGAGACACTAGACAATTGGCGCCACTATCTCGAGGGGTTACCCAATCAGTTCGAGATCATAACCGAGCATAAGAACCTCGAATATTGGCGCACGTCCCAGCACCTCACGCGTCGTCAAGCGCGATGGTCGCTATTCCTGGCTCGCTTCGACTTCCGCATCACACACAAGGCCGGAGCGTTGAATGGAAAGGCTGATGCCTTGTCTCGTCGGTCAGACCACCAGATCGGCAATGAGGACGATAACACCGATCAAGTGGTTCTCAAACCGGAAAGATTTCGCATCGCCTCTGTCAGACGCGGCCATGCTTCGGTGACAGCTGATCAGTCGCTTCTGAAGCGCATCAGGGAGTGTTCGGAGAAGGATCGGGAGGTGGCCGAGGCACTTGAAAAGGTACAGGACCTCAGGCCGCCCCGACTGCAAAGGGGTTTTGAGGAGTGGAATGCCGAACAAGGGCTTCTGTTGTTCCGTGGGTGCGTGTACATCCCAAAGAACGCGGAGCTCCGGCAGGACATAGTCAAGATCCACCACGACTCGCCGATCGCCGGTCATGGCGGCCGTGCCAAAACCCTGGAGCTCGTGTCACAGAACTACTGGTGGCCTGGGATGTCTAAATTCGTCAATGAGTACGTAAGCACCTGCGACGTGTGCAACCGTACCAAGACATTCCCAGCCAAACCCCAGGGTCCGCTGAAGCCAAACGAGATCCCCGAGTGCCCGTGGCAGATCATCACGACCGATATGATCGTCGGCCTGCCAAAGTCTGATGGATTCGACTCGATCCTGGTTACCGCCGACCGCTTCACAAAGCAGGTCCACTTCTTGGCCTGTCATGAGACTCTGACGGCAGAAGGTGCGGCAGACCTGTACATCCGCGACGTATTCAAGCATCATGGGGCCCCAGCCAAGGTCATATCAGACCGAGGTCCCCAGTTTGCTTCAAAGTATCTCCATGTGGTGTACAAGGGTCTGGGAATCAAGCCAGCGCTGTCCACAGTGTTCCATCCCCAGACAGATGGCCAGACTGAGCGCTGGAACCAGGAGATCGAGCAGTACCTGCGTGCGTTCACCAGCCACAGGCAGGATGATTGGGCAAAGCAGTTGCCAC